ACACCGTCACCGGGCATCGCACCTGAGGGGACAAACACATGGTCAGCGCCACAGAAACTGTTGAACGAAGCTCATTTGTTTTTTTTTTTTACACCAAGCCAAAAGGACTCCAGCGTTTTTTGTTTTTATCTTCCTGCTCTAACATCCGCTGCAAGGCCTGATTTTAGATAAAAGCACAAATATAGTTCTTAGATACTGGCCCCGATGACTGATGATCAAATAGGATCCAACTGTTGGGTCATATTAAATAAATTACATTTTTATTAGGATACAAAGCTGAAGGAAAAGTCAGGGATTTTCTTTAACCCTGAACAACCTGGCTTTTATGTTGACATGACTCATGTTTGTGTCTGCAGCAGAGGAACGTCAATATTTAGGCTGATAACAAATGAACACACAGACACACAGACACACACACACACACAGCTGAGCGACAGTACGTGAATATTTAATGCTGGGTTTTATTTGGGATGCACTGACCTGATCTTTGAATCAGAAATTTGATCTCAACCCAAAAGGTTGGACTGGGTATCCATGACAACAGGCTGATATATTCTAGTCAGTTCTAGTTTTTACTGTTTGTTAGCCTTTTGGACACAAATACATCAAACCTGCAGGAATCAGATCAGCAACAAAGACGATGAAAATGATCATCGGTGTAACACTGTTGGACCTTCAGGTGACTCACCTGTGCTCACTAATTACCAGGAATGTGCGCGACTCATCAATTAGATGTTTAACAGCTGCTGCACTCGACAGTTACATAACTACTCTGTGGTTAAACTGAGCAGTATTTCATTAATCTACAACCACAGTTTCCTGTAAAGCTAGCACAGTTTATCGGTGGGCCAATATCAGCGTCAGTATATAATCATGTCAATAAGAAAAAAAAAGATGTTAGAGACATCCATTTGTTTTGTTTCTGAAAGAAAAAAAAAATTCCCAGCTGATCTGTTGGAATATCACTAAATATCCACACTGGTGTTAAAACTCCTGCATGTATTGGGCTCTAGTTTCCTGGCACACTAACATAAAACCACGAGACCAACGGGCCCACATCATGCACATGATGGCTGCAGGTGCTAGCACTGCTAACGTTAGCCTCACTGTGCTGAGTACACTGGCATGTTTGTGCAACATCACACTGAGCGCACCAATTACTGCCAAGGCACAACACTGAGTGACGTAAGGTTTCAACACACCTGCGAGGGAAACGTCTTCATGTCACCTGTAACAGCATCAAGCTCTCTTCAGGATAAGCTCACTGGATCATAACTGGTCTTATCAGACACTCTGGTTCAGATCCAGCTTCCTTTTAGAGGAGGAGGTTTCACTGAAAGCTGCCGACACCTCGGCACACCTGATGTCGTCAGGCAGCTTTCACTGTCATTTCTCTCGACTGCGTTTTCCTTCAGGTCGTTTCTCCAAACGTCCAAGGGATCAGTTTTACCTCTTCACCATCAATCAGGCCCTTTCATGTGTTCACACACAGTAAACGTAACTTTCACTCGTTCCTTTTAGTACACCTGAGTCTCAAAGAACCCACTACTTCAGAACGTCAGCGTTTGCTTACTTCAGGGTTTAAAGAGGTTCTAAGCTGCTGACAGAAATCCTCATTTTTGTTATTGTTTATAAATGATAAAAAATGAAGGCACCAAAAAATGTTTAAGAACTGCATTAAAACAAAAGACAAATCTGATCCGATCTGGCAACTGCTCTGTTGACAGGAAGTCAATATGATCAATTAAAGTTCTTTAAGTCCGAACACACACGAGGAACAATTTCCTCAAA